TGGGCTTTTCTTTTTAGGGAGATTTTGTATAGTTGATGCTATTTCAGAGCTTGATATAGGTCTGTTCAACATTTCCACTGCATTCTGGCTAAGTCTTTGGAGATGATGTGCTTCCAAGTATTGGTCAATTTCCTTCAGATTGTCATATTTCTGGGAATAAAATTTCTTGTAATATTCATTAAGGATTTCTTGAATTTCTAAAGAGTCTGTTGTTATTTCACCTTTACCATTTCTGATTGACAAGATTAGAGACTTTATTCTTTTTTTCTCAGTTAGGTTGGCCAAAGGTTTATCAATTTTGTTGATTTTTTCATCCAACTTTTTGATTTATTGATCTGTTCTATAATCCTTTTGTTTTCAATTTCATTTAATTCTGCTCTAATTCTGGTTATTTCTTTTCTTCTACTGGATTTGGGATTGGAATGTTCTTCCTTTTCCAGCTGCTTGAGATGTCCCTTTAAGTTGTTAACTTCCTCTCTTTCCGTTCTCTTGAGGAAGGCTTGCAATGCTATAAATTTTCCTCTTAGGACTGCCTTTGTGGTATCCCAGAGGTTCTGATAACTTGTATCTTCATTATCATTTTGTTCTAAAAATTTGGTAACTCCCTTCTTGATCTCATCTCTGACCCATCTATCATTCACCATAAGGTTATTTAGCTTCCATGTTTTTACACGAGTCTGTGTTCCTATTGTTGCTGAGTTCAACTTTTATTCCATGATGGTCCGAGAAGATGGTATGGAATAATTTCTATTCCTTTAAATTTGCTGAGGTTAGATTTGTGGCCTAAGATGTGATCGATTTTGGAGTATGTTCCATGTACTGATGAGAAAAATGTGTATTTAGTTTTGTTAGGATGGAATGTTCTGTAGATGTCTGATAAGTCCAGAAGTTGAATAGTTAAATTTAAACCTAAGATTTCTTTGCTAAACTTCTTATTGGAGGATCTATCCAACACTGCCAAAGGAATGTTAAAATCTCTGACTATGATGGAGCTGGGGTAAATCAAGTTGTTCATGCCAGTTAGAGTCTCTTTTATAAATTGAGGTGCATTCTGGTTGGGTGCATAGATATTGATAATTGAGATCTCATAGTATTGAGTATTGCCTTTCACAAATATAAAGTGGCCATCTTTATCTTTGGTTACTTTTGTTGGTTTAAAACTTATTGTATCTGTGAATAAAATTGCAACACCTGCTTTTTTCTGCTTTCCATTAGCCTAGAATATAGATGACCATCCTTTCACCCTGAGTCTATATTTGTCTTTGAAATATTCAATTGTTAATTGTTGAGTTATCTTTTTCCTCCATAGTTATAATAGGTTTTTTCTTTTCTATTGTGTTTGGATAGTCAGGTACTTCTCTGTTATGCTCATGTCTATTTGATTTATCTTCCTTTTATTTTTATGTAACATCCTTTATGAATTCTGTGTATTGATGTATTAAAATTTGGTTTAATACATCTTGGTTTGTATTTGGCAGGTAGGTTTTTCTAACTTTGTATTTTTAAATTTTTTTGGTTATTTTATTTAAAAGTATCATTTTGGACTACTTATAATGTCATCTTATTTTTTGTATATCTTTAAACTTTTAGACTTTTAGTTTATTAACTTAATCTACATGAATTTATTGTAATTACTATCATATTAGGACTTAACTCTGGCACTTTTTCTTTTCAACTCCTTTTACTTTTCTTGTTTTTGGTTTCCAATGCCTAGGTCATTTTTCTTCTGATTCAGCACTATCTTTTTTCCTTTTAGTTTTAACCACATACAAATTAGTTTATATTAGTATGTGATCTTTAAACTGTGACTGTTATTAGTATGTGGCATTCAAAGTTATATAACCTCTTATAACCCAACTACAAAGTTAGATAATTATATCTACACTATAGAGGTAGAGTACAAATTAAATTTGCTATGTATTTAAAGATTTTGGCACTGAGAAACATTAAGAATGTTTTACTCTTCAATGCCAGGTCATACACTGGTGGCATTGTACATTACACACTGATGATTCCAAGAAAATGGATTGTTTTATGTTATATTAGATTTTTAGGAGTAGTCCAGTTGAATACTTCTTTATTTTTATTTTTTGTTTTAGAGTAATATGAGGATACAAATGATTAGGTTGTAATGTTTGCATTTGTTAGGTAAAGTCCAAGTTGTAGTTGTGTCCTACACCCAGGAGGTGCGCCATATACCCTTACGTTGTGCGCATTAGGTGGCAGCACACACCATCCCACTCCTCCCATCTCCTCCGTCAACTTCAATTGAATTGAGTTGTTCTCTTTTGTGTGGGTGTGTATTAGATTGTCTACTGGCTTCATATTAGTATTGGGAACACTGGATACTTGTTTTTTCATTCTTGAGATACTTTGTGAAGAAGTATCAACTCCATCCAGGTAAAATACAAATGAAAACATACCTGCTGTGGTGTGCTAGAACTTTCTTCTGTGAAACCTGGGACAAGGGTTTCCTCCTCCAGAAGAGGCAGACCGCTCTCTTGTACTGCACTTCCAGGTCTACCCTTATTGGATTTCTGACTTCCCTGGGTAGATTTCTTTTTAACATATACTTCTTGTTCTTTCTTGGATACAGAATGAAATAAAAGAGCTTGTTTGCTAGCTGAATAAGAGAAATGATATTTTAAGTTTAATTTAAAATTTGATACGTGTAACTTACATATATATATAACTATAACTTATATATAACTATATGTATATAGTTATTGTTCCTTAAGTTGGCTAGATCTTTTTATAAAACAGTCAACAGACTAGGCCAATTCCTTTTGCTTTAATGAGATAAAAAACTAAGATGACTATCTCATTGGAAATATTACAGTTATAAAGAAATCTACTGAATCTATGTTACCTGCATGGAGCCATGCATTTTCTGGGCTACCACTGAGTGTTAAAAGAATATAGAACAGTTCAACAGTTTCTCATTTATTTAGAGCCACTCAAATGATATGAAGCTAACATCAGAGATTCTGACTTTCTTAATGTTTAATGCCATGTGCCCATGTTATCATATTTGTAAAAGAATTTCACTTTAATTTTTAATTTCTACTTTTTAGTATTTTCCAATCAACTAATAATATAAATACCATTGTTAGAAATAAAAATAGAAATATATTGGATATTATTAATTTATTCATCAAATATATATCAGGGAAACCTAAATGCACATCAATTCCAGTCCTGACAGGATAATAAGCATCATTCTTATTCTTCCACCATAAAAAATGACAAAATTGGACAAAATGGATAAAGCAACTGTGTTCATTCATTGGACAATATGCAGCTCACAATTGTGATCTTCGAGACAAATGAAATGTACACGGTGTTCTTTCTACTTCCCTAGATTTCTGCTCATGAGCACCTTCCCAACTGTGTGCATGGGAAGGTTCAGTCTGAAGAGTGAACCATAGCACTGCCAGGTTCAGGTTCATATGGGCATATCAGGCTCCTGAGACAAGTAATTTTAATTTTAATTTTAAGTGATTTTCTCTCTGATACCAGAGAGAAATATCTGAACAGCAAAGGAGCTCAGAAATAGACATTGGGGTCCACTTGAGTCTTTAGCTATATTCCAAACTCCATTTGTGCAAACACTCAAAAGTGCCTGGCAAACAATAACTACTGGAGAGTTGTAAGCTTAATGGAGATTCTAGTAGTTGCACAATATTGAGAGACGTTGAAATTCTGACCAGACAAAATAAAGGGAATTTAATAAGCACACAGAGCATTCAGTTGAAATTTAAGAAAGGCCAAGCATGAAGAGTACAGCTACCCTAACTCTAGAGTAGTGGCAACCCTACACCTGACTTAAGATGTTCAGAACCAAGTCTGGTTATATCCAGCTAAGCTGCTGATAAATTAATTGCCTTCCAGATCAAAATTAAACATTTTTTCATGAAAAGGGCATGATCTAGACTCTTAGCAATGCAACATGTATGATGAACAGTGCACAATCAATTTGATATGAAGAAGCAGGAAATATGATCATATCTTTGGTAGTCAATATAATTAGACACAATGCTGAGACAGAAGTCAGACTTATCAAACAAAGGCTTTAAAATAGCTACTAGAATGTGATTAAGTTTTTAAGGAAAAATATGAATATAATGAATGAACAAATGGAAAACAGCAACAGAAAAGTCAAATTAAACAGTCTAAGTGATCCACGGTACAATACTAAAGTAAATAGAATAGTGAAGTCCCACCAAAGAGAGATATGTCTACTCAAATCTGAGAATGTGACCTTATTTGACATAGGGCATTTGTAGCTATTAAGGTAAAGAAAGTAAGATGACCTCAACCTGGATTAGGGTAAGCCTGAAATCTAATGATAGGTGTACTTAAAAGATACAGAAAAGAAGACACAGAGACGTATAGAGAGAAGGACATCTGTAGATGTTGACAGTCATAGACAGAGTGATGCTTTCATAAGCCAAAGAATACTAGGAGACACCCAAAGCAGAAGAAGAGTGTAGGAAGGATTCTCTTTCAGAGCCTTCAATGCCAATATTACCCAGCCAACACCTTGATTTCAGAATTCTGCCCCCTAGAACTAAGGAATAAATTTTTGTTGTTTTGAAACTCCCACTTTGTGTTAATTTTCTGTTGCAAACCTAAGAAACTGACACTGATTCCAAATTGTATAAAGCATGTATATTTAGCCCTGGGTGGAGTATCTATGCTTATAAAATACTTAAATATAAATATAGTAAAGTATGTATAAATATGGCCATTGACAATACAAAAGTGGCTGATAGAAATTAAAGACTAAAAAAAATTGAGATATTTATTATGTTCATGGACCAAAAGCTCAGTTTTGGTAAGAGGTTAATGCTCCCCATGTTTGACAAAATCCTAATCCACGTCAAAAGCTACCTTTTTTGATAAAATGTGGTGTTGGAGTGAGAGTAGATATCTAAATCAATTGATCAAAACAGAGCCCCCCAAATAGACCCATACACATGGTGAAGTGATTTTTGACTGAAGCATCAAGGTAATTTAATGGGAGAAAATATTGTCTTTCCAATGGACATAACTAGAACAACTAGGTATGTATCTGGGAATGAAAAGAACCTTGACCACCTGCCTCCCATCATACACAATATTTTTTTCAAAAATTAATTCAAGATGGGTCATAAAAATAAACATACATGCTAAGGTTATAAAACTTCTAGACTAAAACATGAGAAAAAATATTCATGACCCTGGATTAGGCAAAGAATTTTAGATAAAAAAAAAATAGTGCTAATAATTTTTTTGACTCTTCAAAAGTTGCCACTAAACAAGTGAAATAAATAAGACTTAAACTAAGAGATAATATTGCAAAGCTTACAGTTGCAAACTTATATCCAGAATAAATAGTTTACACAAAGAATGGCTTAATAACAATAAGGTAACCTATTAAAAATGTGGGTGTGGTGTGTGAATGTACACTTCCCTCAGTAAGTTATATACCTGGCCAATAAGCACACATAAGGAGTTCAACATTATTAGTCATAAAGGAAATGCAAATTAAACTACAAAGATTTTGTATTATATAACTACTAGAATGATTGAAATTTAAAACTTTGACAATAAATGTCAACCAAAATGGGGGAGAAACCAGAACTTTCATACTTTGCTAGTTAGAAGTGTTAAATAATATAATCCTTTGATTCAACTTTTTTCCATTTAAAATAAATGTGTACATATATCAAACCCTGACAGATTAACTTAATTCCTAGGTGTTCAGTCAATAGAAATAAAAACATAGGTTAATGAAAGACATACAAGCATGTTCTTTAGCACCTTTAGTCACCATACTCTAAAACTCCAGTAAAACTCTGTGTCCAGTGGGAGACTGGATAAACATAGCCATGTCCTGGAATAACACTCAGCAATAAAATAGAAATAGAAATAGAATAGAACAGCATTGCATGCAACAACACGGATGTAACCTTAAAACATTATGCTGAGCAAAAGAAGCCAGTGCCCAGAGAGTAAATCCTACATGTTCTACATCCTCCATTTTATGAAGTTGTAGAACAGGAAAAGTGGGATGTTGTGATGGAAATAAACACAGTAGTTATGTCTTTGGTAAGGTGACCAGATTTTAACATTGGTAAAGGGAGACACTCTTGGGGGGGGTGGTGTTTCTTAATTAAAAATTTGGTCTATATGGAGCAACAAAAATTTTCATAGAACGCAAAAATAGTACTGTAATATATATATTTTTAATTTCAACATAAATACAATTTACAAATATAATACATTAAAAAAAATTATGTATGGGGCGGTGCCTGTGGCTCAAAGGAGTAGGGTGCAGGTCCACCCAGGTGACCTTGCCCAGGAAGGGAATAGGGAGTTTACATTAGCCTTTTCATTTCCAAATGAAGTCACATTAACCTCTTCATTCCCAAATGGAGTTCCATTAACCTTTTCAGCAGCCAAAAACCGTATATTCCCTTTCCATTGTCCCCACCCCCCCATTCCCTAGCTTGTCGTGCATTCTTTCCAAAAATCGGAACTTTTTTAAAACACCCTGGGATGTGGGACAAATTGTTAAAAATCAGGACTGTCCCACCAAAAGCGGGACATCTGGTCACCTTCGTCTTTGGTAGTGGGGAAATTAAACACTAGTGGCCTGATGTAATAGAAATGAATGAAAAACATTAACAGGCAAATGATAGTGAGAGGAAGAATCAGTAATAACAGCAAAAAAACCTGTGAAAATGAAAGAGAGCTTGCTTTATACTTATTTTAAAAATATAATGCATCAAAAAATCTAAAGCAAATATGAAACTTTATGCTACTAACAACATAAGACAGAAATATGTAGAATTAAATATATTAGAGAAATTTTCATGCATTTTAAAATAAAAGTGGATCTTAACATACATCAGTAAGAAATGTACACAGTAGTAAGATAAATGTAAATGATAATCTTGAAATTTTTCAATGTCACAATTAACCAATTTTATCAAAGTGTATGTGTATGTTTAGGCATCCAACTGCCACCTGAATCAAGTATATGGGTTCTTTATAAACCTCAGTGGAACACTAATCAAATTGTATTTTAATCGGGCAGTAAGAACAACATAAATCAACTCCTCAAAATAGAGAATATAAATATACTTCCTAACTCCACAAAATTAAATTAGGAATTAATAACAAAATCTAGCCAAAACAAATTTATTGTTTAAAAATTCTAAAATTTTTATAAATACTTAAGTTTAAAGAAAAAAATCAGAATTAAATCATAGGCCATGGCCAATGTACGTAGTAACACCACATATGGAATTTTATGCATTTTAAGCTATGTGTATATATAATATATGTAATCATACTTTGGAAAATGTATAGCATTAAATATAGTTGTTTAAAAATAAGACTTAAAACATGAACTAAAACTTCAATTGAAGAAGCTAGACAGAACATCAGACTAAATATAAAAAGAAGGGTTTTAAAATATAAATATTGATGACGTAGTTTACAAAACTAAAAGAGTCATTTGAGTTTGATTAGCAAATCCATTTCTTTCTAAGAAAAAAACAATAATACAGGGAAAACGCAAAGAGTCTGATCAAACACAAATAAATGGTAATATTTCATAATAATTACACAAACACACCGAGAAGAGATTTAAAAATTAGGAAAGAATATTGTGTGCACAATTATGTAGATATATTGATACTAGATAAATCCATCACTTTAAGTCAAAATATCAATTATAAAAATGAAAATTTTTTGTAAAAGCCTTGGAAATTATTTTAAAAATAATTAAAAACAAGCACATGCCTATCTCCCGAAAAACATAACACTTAGAACATTTTGAGGTCAAATTTAAGAATCTTTTCACAAAGAACTGACTCCTGTGGAATTTCAATTACCTCCCAAAATAGGAAAACTAAAAAAGTTCTGAAATTAATTTCAAGAATTCATCATAATTTGAACCTGAGAACCAGAAAAGAGTAATGCACAGGGGCACACACAGAAAAACCACTACTAGTAATATAAAGTTACGTGCGTGACCCAACAAGCTGGATATTTTATTATATTCTACACACAGGCATGTATTAAAGTATCATGGCTAAATATGTTTTATTCTAAGAATGCAAGAATAATTCAAATTTAAAAATCAATTTACGAACTTTTAAATGGTAAAATTTGACAACAAGAACAAATAAGATTCTTAACCCATCTCATATTAATGTTCTTAGCAATCAATAGAAAAAGTGTTCTCATATTTAATAAAGGCTAATTATTAGAAGTCACCAATGAAGATACTACTTAATAGTAGATGCTGCAAGTGTTTCTACTTAAGAAAAAGAAATACATCATCATTACTTTTATGTATCATTCATTTGGAGACCCCAACCTACTCTACAAGAAAAGAAAAAAAGTTATGGTTTTAAGAAGAAATGTCAGTTGGCATGATAGGTAAGATCCTAGTTTTGTTTAAAACGTAAACATGAAAATGGAAAATGGAGCCATAAAAGCTAAAATATTTACAGTGTGTTTTCTCAAAAAGCTGAAATATTAACAGTATGTCAGGGGGAGGGTAGCTTTATAATAAGGGATTTCTTATTTCCTTTTTTATAATTATCTATTTATCCAAATTTTCTTCATTGGTCGTGTGTGATTTTGATAGTCAGAATCAAATTAGTAAAGTACCTTAATAAATAATATGCCACAGAGTATCATTGTTAACCATTATTTCAGAAATAATCTATTTATTTTAAAACTCTTCAATAAATAGAATATTTTATAAAAGTCACGAATTGAGAATGAAAGGAAAGTAAAAATTTTTTTTGAAATAATAGAAATTCTACTTCTTATTAAGAAAGCTCAGGTAATAAAAAAAAAAAGTCTGTTGATTTTCAGAGCCTAATTTGACAGGCAAATATAATAAGTAGTCTCTCAAGATTTTACTGCAATATCAAATTTTGTGGATTTACATGGTCACTTGCTATTTTATCGTCAAACATTTTTAAAATGTTATGCAAACATAAATGTCTATTTCTGAATCCAAATATGCAGTTGAAAAGGCCCACTTACACTGGGAGCTCAAAGCTTTTTCACTCCTCAGGAAGTTAAATGCCGGGATGATAGCTAAGCCTTTTCCAATGGAGCTCACCATAATTTCCTCATTTTCTAGGACCTGCAGGTTGATGAACGCATCTGGTTTGGACGTGCGCACCTGGATCGTAACTATCTGCGGTACTGCCACTTTAACTGAATACCTGCAAAAAAAAAAAATTCACTTTCAAAACAAGTATATGAGTCTGTCTCTCAGGTCAGTAATATAAATGGTACCATTTTCCAATGCAATAATCTAAAAGTGAAACCACCTTGTAAAGTTTGCTAACATCCTAGGAATAGTGATTATTATAGATGTTGGCAAAGGGTCCTAATATGGTACGGTAAACCAAAAGGAGTATAGGGACTTTCGTTGTCAAATCCTAAATAAAAAAATGTTAACTTTCTGTTTAGACATACTAAGCAGTCACTGACGAAACCTAATAGACCTAAGAGGCTCGAAGCCCTGTCATCAATCTGCAAACTACCGTGACACCATCCCTTTCTACTACATAAAGAGCACAACTGGCAGAAATAATGCTCTTGGAAACTTCACTGATAACAGTGTTTTCCTTGATTCACAAAACTACAGAGAAATTAAAGCATAATAGTACCCATAGCCTCCGCCCTCATCCTTTACCTAAAGGTTGGAAACTTCTTGCAAAAAAGATTGGAAACATGCATGCAATTAACCCATCCTTTCCAACTGCCCTCCCTTAAGGCAACTGAGTTGTTTTGCTTTTGTTTTTGTTTTCTTTCAGCTTAGAGGCTTCCTTGCAAATGTATGGTATTCTATTGACCTTCAAATTTGGGGGAAATTTGTTTTTCTGAATATCTTCTCTCTCCTATATCTTAAACATTCTCCTTCTTATCCTTGCCATTGGCTTGCACATAGGTACAGCTATCTCTTATTTTAAAAACAGATTAAAACAAAGCACAAAATAAACCAGCGTGATCTTTAGCTCATCTTACAGTCCAGTCTCCACCGCATCTCAGCTCTCCCAGCTCAGCGTCTAGGAAGAACTGTCCACCTTCACTTTTCTCATCTCATCACCTTCCACTGGCTCTCTCCGTCACCAACTCAGGGCTAAACTTGCTCTGCCAAGGTTTCAAGCAGTTTGTCTCTATCCTATAGAAACATCTTTTTTGACATCTCAGGAAAGTTTGACAAGGTTGCATCGACCCTCCATTCTCCCTTAAAAATACTTCTCCTGTGAGTGTGGAAATGTTTATACTTCTCCTTCTATTCAGGGGATACTTTTCTCAGACTTCATTCCCACTGCCATTCCCACCAATATTAGAGAATCTTAATGTTCTGGCCTGGGTTTTACTCTTTTTTCTGTAAACTTTCCTGGAATAATGATTCCAAAATCAGTGGCTCTACCTCAACTACTTACGCAGGATCCCTTGGCTATTTCATTGAAGGATCATATTTAAAAACTGAAAAGAAATGTCTTTCTACCGACCATATTGCAAATAAGCTTCTTCTCCAGAACTCTTTATCTGAGGAAATGATCCCATCTAAATATTGTCCAAGTCAAACTCCAGGACTTAACCAGGGTTGCCGATTCCAATATCTTAAAATTCTTTTGTTCTTGCTCCAAGTTCTCTACAACTGCCTGTGACAGGTTGAATTGTGTACCCTCCCCTCACAAAAGATGTGTTGCAGCCCTAACGCCCAGTACCTCACCGTGTCACCTATCTGGAGATTGGGTCTTTCAGAGGCAATCACGTTACAAGGTTCAAGTCATTACGGTGGGATCTAATCCAACAAGATTGATGTCCCAAAAAGGGACCTTTGGAAACAGCGGCTTTCAGGGTAAAACACCACATACAGCTAAAGGCAGTGATAGAGGTGATGTATCTATAAGCCAAGGAGAACCAAAGTCCACCGGCAAACAAAAAGCAGCTAGGAGAGTCACAAACAAGATTGTTCCTGCAGCCCTCAATGAGGACCAGCCCTACAGACACCTTGATCTCAAAAGTGCAGCTTCTGGAACCCTGGGACAAGACATCTCTGCTGCTTAAGCCACGTGGTGTGTGGAACTCTGTTACAGCAACCCTGGCAGACCAATACGCTGCCCTATTCAGGTTGCCATTCTCACATACCTGGGTTATTTTAAAGCTTCTACCAGGTCCCCTACCTCCCTCACTCACCCCTTCCATTAATTTAACACACTGCAGCCTTCTAGTGGGCTTTTTAATTTTATATCCCTCATCTTTTATGAGTAAATGTAATTTCAAAATAATTTGGTTCTTTTTGTCTTAAAAATTATATCTAAAGCATTTTTTAATTCATGCTTTGCAGATATAATTTTTAATCACAAGTTTGATAATTTCATTTTTCTTAAAATTCTTTAAAGCATTCCATTGCCCTAAAGTAAAATCTATATATTTTGTCTCGTGAAGCCCTTTGGGAAAGGGATCTGCTGACCTCTCTGGCCTGACCACTTGTCATAATATCCTGTAACTCCACTTTGCAAATAAAATGAATATGTCTTTAGTTCCCAGAAAAGGTTGCATACCCTTTGATTTCTGAACTTTCACATATGATACTCAAGCAGGTCTCTCCTCACCTTCTTCATCACTTAACTTTAAGACCAGCTTCTGGGACTAATTTAGATATGAGTAGGCTAAATGTCGCTACTTAGCATATCAGCAAGGCCTGCTGTTGATACCATGGCTTTCTATCACAATAGTTAAAATATCTCATCACAATTGTTACTTCTAGCTTTGGGGATGTTTCCATTCTTCTTAGTAAGACCTACATTTTTCAAATTTCCTATGCCATACAGTATATATATTAGAAAGAGAAGATGTGTATTCTAATGACTCAATAACAAATATTTAATGAAGGCAGATTATGTATCAGGTGCTGGTTTATTGACAAGACATGGTTCTGGCACTCAGTAAGTGATAATTCTCTTGAATAGGAATTCATCAGCTGAAATCTGGTACACCACAATCTCAGAAAGAAGAAAATGCTGTAAGAATTTGACCAAGACCATCTAATTATATTTGAATGTTTAAGCACAAATAATGTTACTGTTGGAAATTAATATTCAAAGGGATGGATTTTTGTAAGTAGAGAAAAATGGAGACAGGACACATAGGCCAGGGGAAAGATGGGAGCAAAATAAAACTGCAGGGCATGTGTGTCAGGAGGTGGTCCTCAGAGGATCAAGAGAGTGGACTGCATAGAAAAAGGGGATATAAAGAAGTCAGGAAGTCAAGAAACACAACAGTTCTTCAGGTCAAAGATAAGGAGAGCCTGAAGCAGTGCAGGGACAGTGAGCATGGGAGACAAGTTGAAATTAGAATCAACGGGAGTCCAAGGAGAGCTCTGAACACAGACGGAGCAGCAAAGAAGGCTGAGTCGGGAGATAAAGGAAATTCCCCACCAAAGACTAGCCAGAGATGGGGCAGAGCGAGGAAAAGGTAGGAAGAGGAAGGCACCTCATGGAGAGTGCTTGATCCAAGTCAGGTACAACGAAGAGTAGGAAGATGTTTGTACCTTTATGTGCAACTAAGTAGGCTTGATCTGATGTAATACCCACATCACCACATTGCTCTAAATTAATTATTTCCAAAGAAGTACAGAAATTGATATTGAAAACTAACTCAGGATCTTACAGCAGCATTTATTTTTATCCTAAAATATTAACATTTTAAGAAGAATGTACATTTGTCCTCTTGTCATGTACTTGTACCTGAATAATATCTTCTTATCGTTGGGTATGTAGTGGTCTCTGATTTCCTTGGTAGTGAAGGCGCTGCATGGAGCCTCCCGGGAGAGGCAGGGGAGGGGGGCATAAGAACCAATGAGGCGCAGTTTCCATCGCGAGCCTGACACGTACGCGTCACCTGTAAAGGCTTCAGCCACGAAGGTGTATCCCTTCTATAAGAAAAGGCAATTACAGGGATAAATGGGTAAGATATTACTCATCTCTCAGAGGTACAATATATCATCGCACTAAATATTTTATTCTCTCAATACACATACAGATCCCAATAACTCCCAATAAACACAAAATGACCAGCGTTATATTCCGAAGTTCCTCCTAGAAAATGCCACCTAACATTTTCAGGAAGATGAGTAACATTTTTGTGTGTGTAGTTCCTGAACTATATTTATAGTGCTTAACTGAGGAGATGATTACTGTTTTCTCTTAATTCTTCTAATGTAAATTTTTATCATTGCATGAACTTCTGACTTGATTCTCCTGTCTCATAGATTCATCTTTCTAAAATACTAAAGTGAGGAAAACAGAAGAATTCTTAAAAGTTCCCTTGAAATGACAGGTAGAGCTATGGAGTTAACACAGCCAATTTGATCCCTCAGAACCCTGATGTGTGATTGAAAATGAGAAAAGAGGAAGCTAAAAAACATAGGAAAGAGCCTATTTATGGTGGTTCAGTGTAATTGGGTATCTGGACAATCCATCAGTGAATCAAGAACCTGGTAACATCCTAAGGTGCAAAGCTGCAAAGCAGTTCTGGCTTTAAAATTCCAGATGCCCCCAACAAAGAATAAAAAGGTAGATTTGTCTTCCAATTGTTCTCTCTTGAGGAGGAAGCTCTCTGATGTGTTTGGATTACCAGAAACAAAAATGGCATATACACAAGCCAGAATGAATGTCATCAATTCAGTAGATATCTAGGAATATTAACCTATGGTGAAATTAAAATTGCAATGTCAGTAGGGACCTTTTGACATGGTATTTGGAGCATGTAAAAACGAAAGATAAACTGTGTACACTAAGCATTTATATTTGCAAAGGGTAAGGCTCATATTTAATGCTAATTTTATTATTGCTTGAGTCCATGGTACTAATGCATTAAACAAGAAAAACAAAAGTACATGACTCCTACTTGTCCAGGTTCAGAGAATAATTTTAAGAGAAAAAAGTTATAAAATGGTGGGAATAGGCATCAGTAAGTGACAATCCAAAGCTAGAGCAGTGGTAGGATTATAAAATAGAACCCAGCTATTCTAAATGGATTCAGGATTGCCAGAGTAAACGAGTTATGTAATACAGTACCAAGTTTCTATTCAAAAAGGAATTAAGGTCAAACTGAGAAAAACAAACAAAAATAGGACACTGGTGTGAAGACAAAGTTTGTTATTGAACCACTAGTTCTCCCTTACAGTGTTTGAGTCAACCCAAGGTTTTCTGCTATAAAAAGATAAATTTCACAAAACTGCAATTTTCAATAAACTAGAACTTATTATTACATAGAAGAGACTACAGTGTAAAAATAAATTGTATGGGTCAAATAAAGATGGCAATATATGTTTGATGTGCAGAAATTTACTTATAATAGCAAATTGTTCTGTTTTTAAGTGACATATAAATACCCTTTCAAAAGCAATTAAGAAGAATATGTACAAGTGAAAATAACATAATTAAACATAAACAAAAACATTAACACATTGATTTTAATCAAATGAGTTTTAAAAATTATGTTTATATAATTCCATGTATAAATAACTGCACACAAAATAGTAATATCTATTAGATTTTCTCTTGAAATGTAAATGTGACACTTGCCATATTTAATACAAAGTAAAAATAACTTAAGCCCAAGTTATGATTTGATAATCTTTAAATTTAGTAAAATCTGACTATAACATCAAGAAGATTTATTTCATGAAAAACAATAGAAAAATGCTAAGGGGGTAATAAAACAAATACAAATTTTTAATGTCAAAATATCAGCAAAAACTCAGTCAAAACAATTTTTTTTTTTTTTGTAGTTTTTGGCTGGGGCCAGGTTTGAACATGCCACCTCCGGTATAAGGGGCCAGGCTCTACTCCTTTGAGCCACAGGCACTGCCCCAACAAAAATACTAGTATATATACTGAGGGTGCCAAAAAATGTATACAGATTTTAAGGATGGTAATAATTGGATTAAAACTGTGAGACTCAAGTCATGTTTGCTGCAGTTCTAAGAGATATAAGATACAAGATAAGAGATGTTAGTGATACATATTGAGTATTACAATTTTAATATTTTTTTTCCTTTCTTAAAATATATATACATTTCTTTTGGCAGCTCTGTATGTATAGGCATATATGTATATACTTGTATGTATACATATACACACATAAATATATGCATCAAACTGGATTCAAAAAGTTCATCCAGAATTTAATCACTCTGATTTTTAAAATGTTTCCTAAAATCTCCAAAACAGCTCAAAAATGCTATTAGGTTTTATTTTTTAATGGAGTGAATACATTTTTAACTTGTCTTTCATTCCTACAAAGCAGTATCCATTAGATAAGTATGTCTTAATTCCCACAAAATAATGCATAGAATCATGGAAATGAGTTTCTGAAGTCAAGTACAGCGGAAACCCAAAGAAAAAGATAAAGTTCAAAGCCATATAGCTGAAGAATAGAAGCTCGGACCTAAAACAGATCTCTCGGTTTCCCAGTCCAGGTGCACATTATCCTTTGTCACGATTCTCTGTGGGAAAAAATGACTGAAAACATGAATATGGGGTTTAAATAAACAGAGAGACAACATGGTTTGAGTGAAGATCAGACTAGGGTCTCTAATTCCACAGGAGTAATGTGCCAAGTGCTCCTGGCCTCTGAAAGAATTTATGTAGCCCCAGAAAAGCCTATGGAGGGTAGGGTGGGGAGATAGGTAACTGTGTTATCTTGATTTTCTGAAATATAGAGGAGTAGAATAATCAGAGACAGTCATCTGAATTGGTTTAGGGATTGGAATAAATGAGCTCTTTAGATCCATTTCTGTTTTAAGGATTTGTATAATTTTATGATTTCAGTAATTAGAACTTCTAATGCTTTCTTTTTGTCACATTTTATTTGGGAAGGAGAAAAGAAAAAGAGAGCTGAGGGGTAATAAATACTCTGGCATCCACACTCAGTACCTCCTATTGTCAAAGAAATAAGACTTCTAAACGGGAAGACTGGGCTCTTTTCCTCTGTTAAGTAGATTGAAAACCCCTCTGTCCTACCTCCTCCTGGCCCCTCTACAAACCGATGGATTTCCACTGCCATTCTATTATATGAGGAGTGTAAAGTTTACACCTACCTTATTCTTGGTATAAAAATAAGGCATCACTTTTTGGAACATCTTTGGTACTTGTTCCATTGTGTCATTATTAACAACATGTAGCATACAGACTGGAAGGGTAGTGTATACTTTGGGAACCAAAATCATATCTTGAGGAACCAAAAATGTTTCTCTGTAATTACAAAAGCATGAACTTTCCTTTGACATGAATTTAAAGAAAATTTGAAATTAAGTTTAAAATTTTAAAAAGTCAAGAAATTTTTAAAAGCCTGAAATTCCAAATAAGTACAAGGTATATAAATTATTTTCTTTTAAAAATTTGTATTAACATATTATTTTTTTATGAAAATTCAAATTTCAGTAAGAAATCCCATTTTATAAGTAATTTAGAACTTTTATCAAATAGGCTGTTGCTTAGAATTGAAAGCATTTTTCTTTCTGCTGAGAGCATATTAATACCCTATGTTATTTTTTTATCATGCACATATGGAACATTCCTCATATTTTGATGAAATAGGCAACCTAGAAGCTCAGGCTTTTATTACTATCATAAATAAAACTCTACAGACAGGAATATTGCATGCCACTTTAAAACATTGTTTGCTGGTATATAGACTATACCTGAATACTATAAACCAAGTGTTCGGTGGCTGATCTTGATAGGTCACATTATAGTCAGAAAAGGCAATCTTAGTTTCTTCATCTTGGTAGCATGGGTAAGATTCCATAGACTTGCACTTGCTTTTAAACATTAGTCTAGAAATGCAAAACTATTTTAAGTATCAGTGGAAAAAATGCCACTTTTCAAATAAACTCTATTTACAAAAAAGTAATAGGCAAAAGACAGCATAAAATATTACAAAACATTGTTTGCTGGATTAAGTCCTTGATCAAAGGGCCTATGGTACATGGTGCCAAGGTAGGGGAGCTTATTCTAGGCCTACCATAATAGATGTCTTTCAAAGGTACCCAAATTTACCTTAAGCTTAGTCAAAGGAGAATGTAATTCATGATTAAAGGAGTTCTCAAAGTTTGTAGGTGGAAAATCAGAACCAAAGTTCAAGCTGTAAGGATAGGAAAACCAGAAGCAGGCGAACCAGCACTAAAACTGGGTGAGAGACACTGAATGGTCTAGAATTGAGGTACAGAGTAGATAAGAATGAAATTTAAAGTGAAAAACAGGTTTGGAAAAATAGATAAAACTAAGGGCATGAGCAAGGGTTAAGAATATTTAGAATATTCCTTCTGTAAGATTTCTGATGCACAATGGAGTAGACCATGCTATTGACTGAGCCTTCTCCATGTTTGTCCCCTGGAGGCTGTGATATATCCTAGAACATGATGAAAGTGATAATGTGATGGTCCCCAGGTCTTATCCCTCCCATTCAGATAGAAACTGGATCTAGCCTTAGTAATACCAGGAATGTAGGGTTCTTTATAAAATAAAGGCTTTACAACTGGGATGGAACCTTTTTTCATATACCTCAGAAAATCTTAATAAATATAGGGCCATCACAATCCTAATATGCCATGTGGAATATCTTGAATGACCCAAAGAGACCTCCCTGACAGAGTTGGAAGTTTCAGTCGTAGTTAAGAATTAGTTTTAATTTAGTCAAGTTTAGTCTAATCCAACTCCTTCATAGGAGAGCTCATTTTCTAACACACATTGTCTTTTCAAAAATTAGGTACATAGAGTTAGACCCAGAGATCACCCTGTGGTAGGCCCCACCATGCTTTCAAATGCAAAGTCAGTTGCAAAAGAAAATTCAGGCAAAAGTGTATCCTTTTTAGAAAACAGAGGTTCTGAAGCAAAAGTTATTCAAGTTGGAGTGATTAGGCCATAGCAGCACCTGTGGAGTAGGATTAGGGTGAGGTGAGCAAGGCATTCACTCTCTAAATTGGGTGAGTATAGAAGTAGATTCTGTTTTTAATTAAAATTTTGATAAAAGTGGGCGGTGCCTGTGCCTCAGTAGGTAGGGCGCCGACCCTATATACTGAGTGTGGTGGGTTCGAACCCAGCCCCAGCCAGCTAAAACAGCAATGACAACTGCAACAAAAACAGCCAGGCATTGTGGCAGGCACTTGTAGTCCCAGCTACTTGGGAGGCTGAGGCAAGAAGATCGCCTGAGCCCAAGAGTTGAAGGTTGCTGTGAACTGTGATACCATAGCACTCTACCAAGGGTGACAAAGTGAGACTCTGTCTCAAAATAAATAAATAAATAATTTGATAAAGTAAAACCTCTGTAAGTTGACAACCCAAGAGACTGTAACAAACTCATCAACATACAGAGGTGGTCAACATGTACTGACACATACATGTGGTACATGTCCAATCTATGGAAATTAGGTCAACTTAAGGAAATGGTCAATGTAATGAGGGGGTCAGCTAGGGAGGTTCTACTGGATATGGCTGATCATGATGTGTTTTTCATTAATTTATGATCTAGACTATTTTGAATTTTTATATATCTGATACATAATTTTCTATTTGTTCCTTTATTAGAAATAGAAATTCAATTGTTATTTTATATTAACTTTGTATGCAGCACCTTTTCTTAACTTTAGCAATTTCCATATAGATTTTTTAATATTCTTATATACACAAAATCATGTCATCTATTAACAGTGAAGGTCTTGTTTCTTCCTTTTAAATTCTCATGACTTTTATTTTACTTAATTGCATTATTCACTTCTTAGACTTTCAGGATTATTTGGAATAGAAGTGGTTGAACAGGTATCTTTGTCTTATTCCTAAACTCAGAGAAAATCTTTCATAAATGTCACCACTAATCAGGTTTGCGTTAGTTTTTCTTTTTATACGAGATTATCTTAATATATTAAGAAGAGTCTTGTCTAGATTTTGCCAAAAGATTTATTTTTTTTTATTTCTGAAGATGTTTTATATCAAATGCTTTTTCTGAACCAATCCATATAACTAAATCTTTTGTCCTTTTTATTATTAATGTGCTGAACTAAAATGACTAATTTCTGATATTATGTCATCATTATTATGTCTGGGGGTGGGTACACCCACTTATTTATGAAGTTTTATCCTTTTAATAGAAATACAATTTGGTTTGCTAATATTTTAATTACATAATTTTTGCATCTATATTCAAGAGTGTTATTTGTTTGAAATTTCATTTCTTGTAATGTCCTTGTTGAATTTTTGTATCAAGCTTATGAGTTGGAAAATGTTTCTTTTTCTATTCTCTGAAATATATATACATAAGATTAATCTGATTTCTTCCTAAATTCACTTGTTAAACCATACTATGTAACCCTAGAGAATATAACTTCCATCTCTGTCCTACTAGAGTTTCATCTAAATGATTAAACAGTAGTAATTTAATTATTTTTTAATTTGTAATATTGCCAGAACCTTAAAACTTTTTTAAAATTTCAGATTATTCATGGGAGTACATATGTTTTGGTTACATAGCTTGCTTTTATAAGGTTAAAATCAGAGCTATATGCATGTCCTTCACCCAGAAAGTGTGCAAGATACTCATGTAATGTATCCATTAGGTGAGAATTTACCCATCCATTTTTCCCCTCTCCCCTACTTAAATTTCATTTAATTTTGCTTCTGTAAAAGCTTATAAGTGTTGGTCAACTAGTTCCAACTTACTGTTGAGTACAAGTGGTGTTCGTTTTTTTCCATTCTTGTGATACTTCACGTACAAGAATGGCCTCCAATTTCACCCCAGGTTGTTACAAAAGATACTAGAGCTCTATCCTCTTTATGGATGAATAATATTCCACAACATACATATACCACAATTTATCAATCCATTCATGTATTGCAGGGCACTTGGATTGTTTCCATATCTTTGCAGTTGTGAATTGTGCTGCTATAAAAATTTTAGCAAAAGTGTCTTTATGAAAAAATATCTTTTTTTTCCTTTTAGATAAATACCTAGTAGTGGGATTGCAGAGTCAAATGGTAGGCCTACTTTTAATTCTTTGAGGAATCTCCATACTACTTTCCAGAGAGGTTGTACTAGTTTGCAGTTTCACCAAGAGTGCATGAGGTTTCCTTCCTCTTTGCAACCATGTCACCATCTGTTGTTTTAGGACTTTACAATATGAGTCATTCTCACTGGGGATAGGTGATATCTCAATGTGGCTTTAATGTGCATTGCCATTAGAGATAATGAGCAACTATTGCTCTTTGTCAACAAAATAATCTTCTATCTACAAAACACCAAGGATAATCTGATTAATTCTCTACATACAGGAGTAATTCATGACGGTAGCATTGCCAAATTCATTGCCAGTTGCAGCAGCAGTTTGATTGCAATGTGTCTTTTTTGTATGTCTTTCCTGCATGAGGTTTTCAGAGTCTCTTGAAAACCAAGAGACTCCAAGAATTGATCAATAAATGTAGCAATGCCTCAGGATATCAGATCAATATATGCAAATCAGTAGCTTTCCTATATGTCAACAACAGTCAAACTGAGAATCAAATCAAAGACATAATACTCTTCACAGCAGCATCAGACAAAATGAAATACCTCGGCATATATTTAACGAAGGATTGAAGGATCTCTATAGATAGAACTATGAAATACTGAGAGAAGAAACTTCAGAAGACTTTTAACAGATGGAAAAACATCATGCTCAGAGGTTGGCAGAATGAACATTGTTACAATGGCTGTACTACCCAAAGTGATTTACAGATTCAACACAATGCCCATGAAAATACCAACACAGCATTTTGAAAAAAATAGTTCCATGTTTCATATGGAATCAGAAAAGACCCTAAATATACTATTGGTATAAAATTGGAAACATAGACCTATGAAACAGAACAGAGAATCTAGAGATGAAACTATCCTTGTGTTGCCATCTGATCTTTAATAAGCAAACAAAAGGAAACATGAGGTAAAAGAATCCCTATTCAATAAATGATGCTGAGAGAACTGGATAACCACATGTAAAAGACAAAAACAGGATCCACACCTCTCACCATTCACAAAAATTAACTTATGATGGGTAAAAGATTTATACTTAAGACATGAAACTACAAAAATCCTAGAAGGAAGTATGGGAAAAACTTGTAAAGATATAGGCCTAGGGAAAGAATTTATAGAGAAGACCCCAAAGGCAATTGTAGCAACAATAAAAATAAATAAATAGGATTTAATCAAGTTAAAAAGATTTTCCTAGCCAAGGACACAATCAACAAAGCAAATAGACAACCTACAGAATGGAAGAAGCCAGAATCTACAAAGAATTCAAGCAATTCAACAAAAAAGATCAGAAAACCTCATTAAAAAATTGAGCATGAGACATGCATAGAAACTTTTCTTAAGAAGACTGACTGACTATTGGGCAACAATCACTTAAACTTCTGTAAACCTTTTATTCAGTGTCTGAATTTGGCAATGCTACTCTCATGAATTTACTCCTACATGTAGCCAATTAGTCAGATTGTCCTTTGAAGATAATATTTCCTATTTCTCTGGCTGCTTTTAAGACTTTTTTTTTCTTTTGGTCTTTGAATTGCAGCAGCAGTTGGACTACAATGTGTCTTTGTGTGTGTCTTTCCTGCCTGAGGTTTTCAGAGTCTCTTGAAAACAGGAGTTGACATCTTTTATCAGTTTTGGAAAATTCTCAGCTATTATCTTTTACATTCTGGCATGCTGATTATACATGGGAGACTTTCTGAGCATGTTCTATAAGTCCCTCATGCTATTCTGTTAGTTCTCACTAATTTTTTTTTATGCTTCAGTTGGGATACTTTTTAT